GGTTTTTACTTTCTTTACTGCCACTACGCTCGCTTCTCTTGATTGTTGTTTCCTGCTTTTCACATAGCACCCAGTACAGCGTCTTCGGACATCGTGTGCACGTTCTTCCATTTCTTCTAGCTTGTGATCAACGAGTTTATGCTCCAAACTACTTGTTAATTGTTGTTTCGAACCAGGCTTCAGTTTTTCGAATGATTTACCAAGCAGTAAAGATCGTACAAGATTTTCACGAAACTAACATCGTCATATGGCTTGTGTCATAATTTTCCTTATAAATCAAATATGCATTAACTATTGCTATTCCAAATATCAATACAAATCTCACCTTTTGATACCATTTTACAGAGTGTCTAAAGCATGTGTAGTATACTGATAGTTGATCAGATAAATCTATATCTTGTTTTCCTTCATTATAATCGAGAACAACTTATGCCTTCATTATGCGTTCGTTTAATTTATTGATTTTCCTGGTAGTCACTACAGTTGCTGTATGCGATGGTTTTGTAGATATCATCAAAACGTCTCTTTTGTCTTTCCACTCGATCAGTTTTATGTCATTTTCATTCTAGATCCAAAAAACTTTACCACGCTTGAGCTTTTTTCGAACAACTTCATGTTCTGATCTGGCACGATTACTTCTCATTGTTTCAATCAGATATGTGTCATTTTGCAATAGATGTTCTGCAAGAGAAATACTTGTAAAGAAGTTGTCAGCTACCACGGTTCGATAGCATCCCAAAAGATCGTCTATTAAACCCATTACGACTGTTTGAGCATGTTCAAGACTTGTCATTGGATCCTGCTTACCGGTATTAACTGTAAAATTTCAAGTGTATCCATTCGTACTCGTTATATCTTAACGCCGTATTTATGCGATTTGCCCGGAATATATTGTTTGAAGAGAAGTCTGCCTTTCCATGGTACCATTGTTTCGGCGATAGTAATAATTGAGCCAGAAATGTTAACCGACTTAAACCTAGCTTGCAATAAATCCAAAAGTGATTTCAACTTGAACAACCTGTTCTGATCTGCATGCTTCTTTTCATTATTTGAAAAATGATCAAATTTGAGGGTGCGGGTGTGGAATGTGGATGGGTGGGTGTGGATATGGGTGTGGGTATTTCCATCATTCACACCCACACTCACACCCACACTCACACCCACACCCACACCCACACCCACACCCACACCCATCCACACCCACACTCACACCCACACCCACACCCATATCCGCACCCACACACTCACACCACACGCCCACACCCTTCCTTGAATAGAGTGTATGTGTGTGTGAGTGTTCTCTTCAACCACAGCTAAATCCACCTAAACCATCCACACTCTGCTTGTGAGTGATGACTCTGCTTTATAAACAGAGTTCTGATTAAATTTCTCATTTATGTTACAGAATTGTGTAAGCCCTCTGATTTAAATATTTTATCGATTAGTATATGTAATTGATAATGACATCATTAGTGAAGTGCATTGATGTCGTGCTTCATGACTGGCCTAGATTTCCACAATATACCAGTTTCATTGACTGGTGCAATAACATAACACGCATGGCATATGCAGAATTGTAAAAAAAATTATCAACATCATCTGTCGATTTCTTTTTTTTCCTTTCCACCATACAGGAGGTAGTTGTATTAATCATCACGGGCAATTGCTGTCGTTTCACGCAAGTACAATGAAAACATGTCGTAGCAAACATTTTTATTTTTGTTGTCTATTGAAAATGAAAATAAGAACCAACATGAATATTTTTTTAGATTATTTTAGAGATTATTGATTATTTTCAGATGAAACAAACTATTACATCTACTTCATTTTTGTCACCATTCAATGGTAAAACAATTGTTCTCGAACTTGGTCGTGAAATAGGCTTCAAAGCTAAACAAGAACTAATCAATTATTTGCGAGAACAACAAGCACATATTTCATATATTCTTACAGCTAGTGTACGTTCTTCTTTTATTTTGCAAACATGTTGTTGAAGTTAATTTCTTTTTTAGACTGACTATGTTTTGGTTACAAAGAGTGTAGATAGCTATAAGACACGTCGTGCTAAACAGCTCGGCTTGCCATTGGTCAATGTTGAATATATCTACGAATATCGTCGTTTGCCGTCTGATCAAACATCACTCGATATTAGCAAATTTATCATCAAATCAGTTGAAGATCAAGAAAATTTTACGAAGACTGGGACTATTTCCGTCACAGGTATTATAAGATTTTTTTTTGTAAAAATCATTATACAAATACTTGTTTGTTAGAATCTCGAGCAAGCACGAGCAAAATCAATAAGTTCGATTTGACTAAAATCAAACTATGGAATTCGGATGATATTGATTTGCCTCGTTTCAATGAATTGACACATTGTGAAATTGGCAAATGGGCCATTTTCAAAGTATAATTCTATTCATGTGTAACTATTGTTCTCTTATATTTCTACTATTTCTAACAGGAAACTAACGATAATTCAGATGTATTTTTTGTTCTCGAACTTCAAGTTATTCCCGAACAATACTACGATCAAACAACTAGTGATTATCGACTAAGATTTCGATACGAAAAACAGACGATTGTTGGCGAAGGCCAAAAACAAGATAAAAAAGTATTGATACAATATGCATTTAGTGATGATCCAAACGAACAACAACACTTATTTGCATCATACTATTATCGAATAGCTACAATGCCACGTGTAACAAGAATTCGTGAAATGTTACCTGATAAATTGGGATCAAAATTATTATTACGCGTAAGTCAACAATATTGACAAAGAAAAATTATTTTTTAAGAAAGAAACAAACTAATTTTTAGTCATTATTTACTCATCGTATCGATACACAAATACTTGATGATAATGTATGTCAATTGATTGAATCGATTTGGTTAGAATCGATTGGTGATCTGAATAAAATTTTGAGTGTATCACCTGAATCAATCAATCTTAAAACGGTATATACATTTGTTTTGCTACATTCATATTAGTTTTTGCTTTAAACTACAAAATAGATCATCGAAGCTGAAGCAGCACTGCTTGAACTCAAATCGACCAATGATTCTGCTGCTGCACTTCGTTTCTATTCACTTATTCCTCATCGACCACCGTACAACATTGATCTCATAAAAAATCGTCGAGCATTAACCGAAAAAATTGATTTATGTCAGGTACGTCTATTTCTTTTAACTATCTCACTTGATCTTTTGCTCCTTCAGATGCTTCGAGATATGCTTACAGTCAACGAACTGACTAATTGGAATGTTAAAGCACCGATCGAAGCCAAATATCGAGCATTGAAATGTCATATTGAAACATTAGATAGTTCAACACCCGCATTTAAGAATGTTGCCAAGTTCATTCAATCATCGACTGACAAGTGAAAAGAATTGAAATTTAATTTCATAAATGATAACTTTATTTTTGTTCACTAGTGGTGAACAAATTATTATTCATCATGTATTCAGTGTGGCCAAACAGACAGATGCACTCAATTATTGTACATCACTATCCCATCAACAGCAATTATTTCATGGATCGAAATATGCTAACTTTCTTGGAATTCTTTCACGGTAAAATATTCATTTTATTCTCTAGAAAATATTTATTGTATGACTATATATATTCAGTGGTTTAGCTATGCCAAAAATGGTAGTTGAAGAATTGGGTATCGTACGCACTGATATTGGTTGTCTTGGTTATGGAATTTACTTTTCTGATTCTGCTTCTACATCTCTAAAATATACGACAGCAAGCACAACACGACCAGGTCGACGATTGTTGTGCATCTGTCAAGTAGCACTAGGCGAAACGGCTAATTATTATTCATTTTCACCGACTCTCATCAAACCTCCCGACGGTTTTCATAGTACACATGGAGTTAAACAGACGGAAGAAAATCATTCAATGTTTACCGTAAGTATTTAGTGTTCTTCTGCTATGTCAACCACTTGAAAAAGAGCACATATTTCGATTGTACAAAATGGCATTCATATTGAAGTCTCTCGGTAGAGCTTGTACAGTGTTCACATTGATAGTTTTGATCGTTGAATTCATCTTTGAGAATTCTTTTACTTACCATTCGATGTTGAATTTAACAGGCTACGTTTTCATAAGAGGTATTTTTGAACTCATGTGACTTTTTATTTAATTGCAAAACAAATTATTAAAAATTTCAATATTTAAGTGTGTTATTAAAGCTAAACAAAACACAATGTACTTAATTTAAACTAATTCGAATCAGAACAATTTTTAAAGAATTTCTACATTTATATCAATTATTTTGTAGAACAGATCAAGGAGACTTTGTTGTCTACTATAAAATGTACCATAAAATTGATCTAGCTTTAATGTTCGTTCTAATGGTATACTTGAAACTTGAATTCTTTTTACAATTAGATAGAAATCAAATAAACATTTGAATATAAGACGTGATTTTTCACCAATGCCTTCTTTTTATAAAAATATAGTCCATTAAGTATTATGTAGAATGTGATATAAATGTTTTCTGTTATTTATTTAATGATCAAGAAGTAGAAAATACGAAGTACTTTCGACAGTTGTGCGACACATCATCATACAAAAAATAATACTACAATTACTTGTGTATTCTACTTCGTTTCATGACGTTGTTATCGTGTAAACACAATCAATCAAAACATTTTCTATGCGATTACAGTGAACGTCGCTAAATGTATTGTAAAATAGTTTCATTTAAAAATAAAGTCGAAGATTTCAGGTCATCTACTGTATTCAGAACTTCATTTTCAAAAACAAGAGTGTCAACTTTCTTCTTGTATTCGAGAATACAAAATTGATCAAAGCATCGTCTTCCAGTGAAGAGTAGAATCGATTCCGATTAGCCTGACTCCTTTTAAATAAAATAAAGTTAGAGTGCAATCACAAAAATCCAATATCTGATCTATGTTAGAATTGTCCTGGATTTGATTTCAACGAAAAAGTTTGAACCAATCAAATATATACGTATTGGATTCGAGCATAGGCATATTGTAAGATCGAGAGTCTCGAGTTTTGTGGATCATCTAAAACTTTGTTAATTTTCTTCCATGGCTACCACAGATCTGAAATACTAATGTAAATTCACTAGAAACCAGTTCAAGACACGATATTGAGAACAAAACTATTTCTCAACATGTCTAATCGTAGAATGAAAAATCTAATTTTTATCAAAATAGGATAATGAATATGCAATCTATCAACTTGATCAGCAACGTTTACTCTACATTGTGGAAGTTTCGTGGGCACCAAACGATACTCTCGACGTTAAATTAGAACGATTACCAATTGTCCACTATCAACAACATGCGTTAAAATTGAGTGAACATGGTAATGATAATGTATCCTTTTTGTTACAATAAAAATTCAATCATCTTATCTGTTACGTTCTAGTCGAAGTTCCATTGACAATCGATGATGAAGTCATTGAAATAGCCGAACAAGATTATGGTTTAATATGCCCGTCGTCAGGAAAACTCGTTCCACTTAAATCATTTCATATTCGTGCTCAAATTGTTGATGCTACCGTTGAAGTAATTATATCTATCGTTTCATTAAAGTTATACTAATTCATCATGTTTCTTTTTTAACAAAAAGGTTGTTCTTTATCAAGTCTATCATAATACGAGTTCAACACCGATTGAAGCTAAATATGTATTTCCTCTTGATGAAAATTCAACTGTATGTGGTTTTGAAGCACATATTAACAATAAAGTTATTAAAGGTGTTGTCAAAGAAAAAGAACAAGCCAAACAAGAATATCGAGAAGCAATTGAAAAGGGTCATGGAGCATATTTGATGCATCAAGAACAAGCTCAAGTATTCAGTGTAGCTGTTGGTAATTTACCAGCAAATAATGAAGTCATTATTAAAATAACTTATGTTGCCGAATTAGAAATCGAAAATGGTGATATCATTTTTCGTCTTCCAGCTAAAATGGCTTCATGGCAATCGAAACAAGCAATCGAAAGCAAAGATCAATCAATTGTACGATCTATCGATATTGTCGATGAAAAAGTCGAATTTAGTTTCAAAGCATCAATTCGAATGCCATATGAAATAATTAAATTATTTTCACCAACACATCGTCTTCGTCGAAAATTAACCGATTGTATAGCCATGATCGAACTTGTCGATAACGTCTTAATTGATCGAGATTTTGTTCTTTCGATAACACTTAAAAGTGCTAATTTACCTCGAATATTAAATGAAACATTGTCATTGAATGATGACAGTGGAACAACAACAACAACAACAACATCAAACAATTATGATTCTCAAGCATGTATGCTTACTTTTTATCCACGATTCGAAACATTAACGAATTCGAATGAACAAGTTGAAATTATATTTATTGTCGATGTATCAAATTCAATGGATGGTACGCATGTACAACAAGCTAAACAATTAGCTCATTTGTTTCTTACAAATTTGAAAGTTGACGATGGAAATACATATTTTAATATAGTTACTTTTGGATCAGGTAATAACAATGATAGTCTATACTGTTATTCTATTGTTCAAATTTGAACTATTTAGATAATGATGAATGTTTTCCGATTGCAACGCCAACCACAAAAGAGAATCTTGATAAAGCCAAACATTTTGTTCTCGTTAGTAGTTTATTTTGAACGTGATGTTTTTCTATTGAACCATATGTTCGTTGATATATTCTAGCATTCACTTGTTCATCGTGGTAATACGGATCTATTTGCTGTTCTTCATCGTTATTCACTGTTACCATCATCCAATTATGGTCGTCAATTCATTCTTTTATCCGATGGCCATATACATGATCTCAATTCGATTCTTGCTTTACTCCAACATCGATCAACTATGCGTCGTGATCGCCTATTTACATGTGCGATTGGTAATATTGCTAACAAGCATGGTTTGAAACAGTTAGCAAATGAAGCGAATGGAGGTGGTCTAACAACAATATTCGATTCAAACTATCGATCAAGATGGAAAACAAAAGTGTTAAATATTCTTGAACATGTTCGACAGCCATGTGTTACAAGTATATCGATCGATTGGCATGGTAGTTTAGATAAAGAACAAAAATTTAATATGCAAACACCAAAAATCATTCGATCTTTATTCAACGGAATGCGACTTAGTGTCTATCGATTCATACAAAATTGTCATAAGGCAACATTGACAGCTACTATCGATGGACAAGAATTTGTTACGACTGTATTTAGTAGTCCGATGACAACAACCAAAGGACGTATTCTACACTGTTTAACTGCTCGAGCGATTATTGATGATTATGACAATGGACTATTACATGTAGACGAGAGCGAAAACGAACTATTCAAAGTTCAATATAAACAAGATCTCATCGATTTAAGCATCAAACATTCTGTCGTCAGTGCATATACTAGTTTTGTTGCCATTGAAGAACGTGATACCAAAATGGATACACAAACTCTTCAACCGGGTTAGTAGTATATTGAAATCTTACGGATATACTCATCAATTGATTAATAAGAGAACAACAAAAAAAGTAAAAACCTATCTACATGCTTCTTATACTATGTGCTTAAGAGCCTGGAGTATCTATGTTCGGATTGTAGATAATAATTGATTTAGTTTAATCATGCAGTTTATTTTCTAAAAAAAAGTTAAATCTGAGCTCGACGTAGTATCCAGTAATGCTTGAATAAACATGTGACCACATTTTCCATCAATGTGTATTCCTATTGATAGAAAATATTTGAACATGTACATTTTGTTATAGGTGTTCGTCTCCTTGACGTTATGCTTGATCGAGATGTCGATTTACTACCATATATGCAATGGGATGGTGACCTATCCAGTTTGACTTTGATCAAACAAAAATTGATTGATGCACGTATTTCACTTCAAAATGCATCGATTCAGAGTAAAAAAGAATCGGTTACCGACATTGAAAAACTATGTGAAAAAATCTCCTATCGAGCAGGAGGTGATGCGAAATTTGATATGATGATGACCATTATACGTGCATATCGTTATTCATTGAATGAACACGAAAAAGCCAATCAACTCGAAGACAAAATGCGAAATGGTATGTTTCTTAATCTAGGACAAACATTCACAGATGCCAACTTTGATAAATAAATAGATCTCAAGAATGAAATGGTTAGTGCAACGACTGAAGAACTACAAGCATTACAACAACGATGTCAATCTAACAATTTAAGAATCACAAGTGATGAAGAGTACGTAAAAGAAAAGGATGGAAATATTTGAAATAAAATTTGATGTTCGTTTTCTTGTAGTGAACAAATGATCGACTATGATGGTAAGTAGAGTCATAAGTGGAAATCGATCATTCTACGTCGGAAATCTCAATTGAGAAAGAGCCATTCTATGATTTAGATCAAAATGAAAAATAGATTACACTGGCCACCATCAAAACGATGAACAAAAGAATCTGATTATTTTGATTTGCAGTTCGGTTATACTTGAGCAACGGATAGAAAACGATGAAACAAAGTAGAGCAAAATAGTTCTCGTCTTTACCTTTTCAACGTAAATTTTTGCTTTCCTTGTTTATTCTTATCTTTGACAAGGAATGAAAAATTACTGTCTGTAGTTAGTATTTAGCTAATTTGTGTGAAACAATGCCAACATTTGTCTAAATTTTCTTTGTAATGTCGGAAAATTTAAAAAAAAAATGTTTCGATATGATAGAATAATGTATCATGAAACGAGCGATTCATCTTTTATTTCAAAACTAAGTAAAGTCAGGAATTCATTTCCAGATTGCATTCACAAAACTGTAGAAGAGTCAACCATATCTGAATATCGAATAAGTACTAATATACAAATGAATAAAAGCTCTTAGAATTATTTATATAATGTTGGATCCCTAAAAAGAAAGCCTAACAATTTCATAATATATCCGTAATGCGTTTCTTGATTTTTGACACACTCAGTCGATTGTTTATAGAGTAAGATAAATAAAAGAGCTTTGTTCTTAATTCTGATGTTAATGATTAAAATATTGGAATATTGAAAAAAACTAATTTAAAAAGAGTCATCTAACAAGTAGATCGAATTAATTAAGAGAAAAATTTAAAAGAAAAGCTAAACTTTGAATATTCGTATCATTGGAAAGTAAAAATAACCATATGAAATTGCACACGAACCTTGTAAATCGAGAAGAAAACAAAACTGATTTAGTATTGACGAGAGAACGTTTCTAACAATGAAGGTATATGTGTTGATAAGTGAAAAGATGGCACATATTCGGGTCAAATGAAAGCTCTCATCGCCAAACTAACAAGGCTAAAATATTAGCAGTCCTTGGCTTGTCTAGAGGGAGATATTCGATTTTTACTGTATTTATAGTACATGTAGGATGTCCACAATTGAAAATTTCAGTGAGATTTATTTTTCTTTTTTCATGACGGTTGGATACAGCTCATCGAGTTGCATTAGAAAAACTATATTTCAAATTTTAAAAAGAGATTTAAAAAGAATTTTGCGTGGGGTCGGAATTTTGGATCTATTTTTCCTTATATTTGAAAATAACAGTAACTTAGACTCTTCGTTTAAAATTTTTTAAAATCTCTTTTTAAAATTTGAAACATAGTTTTTCTAATGCAACTCGATGAGCTGTATCCAACCGTCATGAAAAAAGAAAAATAAATCCCACTGAAATTTTCAATTATGAACATCCTACATATACTATAAATACAGTAAAAATCGAATATCTCCCTCTAGACAAGCCAAGGATTGCTAATATTTTAGCCTTGTTAGTTTGGCGATGAGAGCTTTCATTTGACCCGAATATGTTCCATCTTTTCACTTATCAACACACATACCTTCATAGTTAGAAAAGTTAATTTTCGACCATCATACAAAGGACAGTGCTGAGTATTTCAAATTTCATTATTTCTCGTCTTCTTTTTTCTCTGTCGTATCAGTATCAAACGATTTCAACATTGATATTTTATATCAGTTTGTTCAGTTCTATCAAGTCATTGATAAATCATAAAAATATGTAATGTCGTGAAAAGTTTTATTTGTGAAAATCTTAGTTATTTTTCCAAAAAAAAAAAGTGTTTGCATCAGTAGTACTTTGAGAATTACGATTGAAATTATTTTCTGTCTTGGAAGAGACACCCGTATACAAGAACGATTTCTAAAAATCAGCAATCTATTATATGCTTAACTATAGAATCTTTTATACGTATATTAATCTATGAATGAACTGAAATAGTTTGATGTGACTCAGAAACTTATAATTATAGTACTAGATATTCACTGTAATATTTACCTCGTGAACAACAAAATTCAATGTCATTGTAGAGACAAGAGTATTTCGATACTCGGTTTTTTTCGAAAAGTGCAGTGATTGTTTGTTTCTAATTGTGATCAAAATGTTCTGTATTTGCTTTTAGCGAGGAAATCTGCACCAGAAGAGCTTTCATTGAAAACAGAAGAGTTACAATGGTCAGAATCGGAGGATGAAGATCATGATATGAGTTTCAATGGTTTCGACGGTTATGCGACAATGCACTCTTATTCGGCATCTGGTGAGTTATACTATTTCCGTTTTCAGTAGTGAATATCGAGGAAAAAGTTTTATAAAATCGAATTTTTTGAATCAGACTCTCGAATTCATGTTTTTAACATCGTTGAAATATCTCGAAAAATTAGGAAATGAAACTTTTCGTGATCTTACCGTTTACTTTAAATCTTTGCCATTGTTTTGAAGAAAATAGTAAATATCAATCATTCTTACGCATTTTGCAAACTGAAGAAAAATGTTGGATCATGCATACGCTTTGTGCACTGATAACTTCAATAAAATCAATGTCTGATCATGTGTTTTTTTTGTTTTTTGATAAATCACCTTCATATGCATGCATCTGAATTCTCAAATATACATAACAATCTGCACTTGTGTACGAACGTTCGAAAAGTTCACTCAAGCAAGCAAAAGATGACTTCAATGTCGAATCTATTTTCTAACTATATTGACCCAATCTATTTTGTATTCATCATAAAAGTTCGATATTATGGCTATATAGTCTGAATTTTCATACATCTCTTTTCATCGATTAAGAGATTTCTCCAATTAAGTTAAAACAATTGAGTAAACGATTTGAAAGATACTTTTAATGACTGAATCTCAATTTCTAACTTTACTTGAAAATGAATATCAAACTTTCTTCATGAAGTACAACATGGAGATATAATACTCGGGTTACACCGTGAATAATACGTATTTTTAACAGCGAATATTAGGCAAGTCGAGACTAGTGAAGTACATGATGATACAGAGTTTTAGCGATTGTTACAATACATAATTCATTTCTGAATCCACTCAAGTTTTCATAATCTAATGTTTTTTTAATTTCAAAATACAATTCGTAAAAACAAAATTGATAAAAAGGATTCTTTAGTTCTACTCGGTAAAGAAGTGCAAACTAATAAATGTATATATATATAGGAAAATAAGATTTCAAGGGCTATCAGATTATACAAAGTGATCATAAGTCAAAACTGCGACAATATCTCGTGTCGTTATTATTCCTTGTATAGTACTGAAAATGGAAAAATTTTCGATTCTTTCCACTAATTTTTGAGTCCTCAGTAAAAAGTTCACCGAAATGCTTCATTAGATTTCGCTGAAATTTATACGATGCTAGATCTTTTCCTGAAATAAATATAGTTAACATTCTAACACAAAATATTAAACTTCTATCGAGTCATAGGTGACGTCAAGATCCAATAAAATCCAATAGATTTTTCATTATAAAATACATTCAGTTTCGAATAATATTAAATTGAAAGTGATACTTTCGTATCATCATAGAATTTTCAGTTTCGCATCCATTCATTTAGAGCAAACACAAGTTCTAATCGAGCATATTGCATTATGAAATAGTTTTTGTTTTTTCTCGATACAGAAATCAAACCTACAATTAGTTCATATTCTTCAAATGAAAAAATTATGTTTCAAGAAGAGAAGTTTCATGTGATTTTCTAATGAACAATGCGTGATGATACGAGTTAATAAAGGAAAACTTTATTTATCACTTTGTTGCATTTAAAGAAAACTGCAGAACAATGCTATTCAATTATTAGTAAAACAAAACTGAATTTCATTCAAGATTATCTGGAACAAAAACTTGATGATTTTTCCAAATACTGTTGTAAATATTTGAAAAAGAAAACGTAATGTAGCTATAAAAAAGATGACTTGAATTAATACAAATACTCGATAAACGTATTTGAAAGGAAGAGACTTCAGCTCATCTTTCTCTATTAAACAATTGACTTTTACTTTAGAGAAAAAAAATCGACTTTTATCAGGAGATCTCTTCATTTCCTTTTTACCATAAGCCTCTTGAGCTTACATAAAAAGTCAAATGAAAAAACTCTATCTGAATATATATCTAAATTTTTAAATTTAGAGTTGCGACTTTCTGCTCTACTTCATTTTAACCAAGAATCTGATAGTAATAAAGTATGACTTTGTATTTCTTATTCTTTTATCAATAATTTGTTTTCATACGAAACAAATACAATATTCGGAGTAGATTTACATGAAAAACATATATAAAAACAAAAAGACTTGACTGAAATACTGGTCAAAGTTTGACAAGACATATTTCACATAGAATCCTCATATTACTTTATGTGATTCTTCTATACCGAGTCCGAATTTTATTTCGCAACAACTTCTTGATCGACAGAGTCTACAAAAAGGAGATCATTCTTTGAAAATTTTGTTTTTGATGTTGAAGAAAATATCGATTTCTCTTCAAAGATTCAGAAAAACAATTTAAATCAGTACTTCAATTCGTTCGTAGTAGATTCACAGGTTTTTTTATTTGCGTCTCTTGATCATCGTAGTTTTTGACAAAATTATATGTAAATAATATGAAGAGCAGATTGTTTATAGTTAATTTTTCATGTCTACTCAGACATTTTTAGCTGATATCTTTAAATAAAATATGAAGTCGAGACATCAATGTTCCAATCATCATACGAAAGACATCGCTAACCTTTTCAAATCTTAATAGTCTTCATGTTTCTCTCTCTATTTCTCTCTCTCTCTCGCGAATTAGTATCAAATGGCTCCAGCATTAATATTTCAAATGACGTTGTTCAGTTCTATCAACTCACTTATAAATCGTAAAAACATCAAATATTGTGAAAGTTTTCATTTGGCGAACATCTTACTTATTTTTCTAAAACATTACTTTTTTCGATCAGTAGCACTTCGAAAATTACGACGCCAACTATTTTTTTGTCTTGAAGGAGATG